AAAAAAAAAAAAAAAAAAAAAAAAACACCAAACAAATTCAATTCAGTATCACCTTTCAACTCGTATTTTCAAGGTATTCATCTTAGCCTTCACAAAATTTTGTTTTCATTATTTTCACATTAATTGCATCATTTTTCATTTTGTTCAAATAAACATAATCACAATAAAATTCACAACTTGTATAATTAGATCGAAAACAAACATAGCTGATTGATGTTGAACATACAACAACCCCTCTAAACTTAGGCAGAAGTATACAGGATACTATAGATGCCTGCCAGCTATGATTGTTCAAGAGGGCTGTGGGCATTTGCAGGGCACTGACAAAAAAATTCAGTAAACCGTTAATTTAGCTAGGAGATATCTCCTGCAGAGATCCTTAAAACAACAAACATTCCCCAGAAATAAAATCAAGCTTTCTCTGACAGCTTGGCTACAAGAACAAGGATAAAGAGAGAAGCCAAGAGGAGGAAGGCAGTAGCCCTGTCTTTAATCTACTTGTGTTTGTATATTACAAGCTACCTCCGCTACATTTTCTTGATAGAGCCCACACTTCTCAAACAGCGCATGCCTTATTCATCATCAAAAGAAATGGTGAGGATCTTCCACCTGGGAAGGTCTCACAAATTTAGGTAGAGAATTACACGACTACTTGGTCTAGTTCTTGCAACATCCTTGGAGAAGTTCCTGTTTGTTAGCTAACAGATAAGGAACCTGAGGCTTAGGGAGGGCATGATTTGCCCAAAGTCAAACCACTGGTAATAAAAAATAATTAAAAAAAAAAAAGCTGGTCCCACTGCTCTTTCTGCTACTCTACAGTGAAAATACCATGTCTCCGAGAAGGTTTTTATATGAGCACAGAAAGAAAAGGGCATAGGTTGCACCTGCTCCAAACCACATGAAAGTTGTGGACAATTAGCAGATTATTGTGGACTCAAGCACCTGCCTGCAAAACACAAGCCCAAGTGGTGGTGCTAGGGTTAATTTACTGAGATCCATGTTGGCTGGGGTCAGCTTAAACAGAAAGGGATGGGGTCTTTTAGTGGGTAGCCCCCAGGCTATGCAGGGAGAAGTGAGCATAGTGAGGCAGACTGGAAATCTCCAGCGACACGGTGCCAGGCTGGCCAATGAATGACTCAGTGTGCAGAGAACAAAGAGGGTATACCATACCTCTGTGCAAAGATGGTAGGACAGACCGGAGCAACTGAGGAGCAAATGGTCAACAGTGCCAGAGAGACAAACCAGGCTGCCAGAAAGCATGGTTAAATATATCTCATATCCCAAAAGATCTATAGCAACAGTCCTCAGCCTTTTTTCACAGATCCTGTCGGAGCAAGTGGGGATGATTTGGGGATGATTTAAGGGAGCATGCAACCAAAATTCCTCACATGCACACTTCACAATAAGATTCAAGATACTGTGAGAATCTAATGCTGCCACTGGTCTGACAGGAGGTGAAGCTCAGTCTGTAAATACAGATGAAGCTTCACTCTGTTGCCTACTGTTCATCTCCTGCTGTGTGGCCCATTTCCTAGAAAGCTACAGGCGGGTCAGTTTCATGACCCAAGGATTGGAGACCCCCTCATCGAGAACGTTCACATTTGGTCTGAAGGTTTTGTTAGAAATTGTCCACTAATACTTCCAGGGACAGTTTGTTCAACATTCCTTCTGCAACACTTGTGAAGCACCACTCTGTGTGTGACACAACACTGGGGATTGCACCCTGAGTGGACAGGAGTCAGCATACTGAAGGAGCCCTCACTGGAGGGCTGAAGGATCGCAAGACTCCATCTCTCAGTGCTTGGCCCTTACCTTCTGGAGAAGCAAAAAGCATTGTGAGAACATTTGCCAGGGAGACAGAGGCTCTCGGAAGGAAGAGAATTCATTCTGAGACCTAAAAAATGAGTGGTGGTATGTGGCCATTTTTTCTTTTAATTTATTTTTTATTTCTATGTGTTTGTAATACATAGTAATTACATAATAATTATATGCATTCATTTTGGGGTGTTAATACATACATATACATATTATATGTTGATCAATTTTGATTCCTTCTTCCCCAACCTTCCTTTCTTCCTTTGTTCCCAGATCCCCCTTCCTATCTCCAAAAAGTCTATTCCCTGTTTCTGTTTCTTACTGTCTCTCCTTTATTTTGCTCTTTAGATTTTGTGTGTGTGTGTGTGTGTGTGTGTGTGTGTGTGCCAGGGTTTGAATTCCAGTCCTTGCACTTACGAGGCACGTGGCAGAACCATTGCGCTAAATCCCCGGCTGCTTCTTAGATTATATTTTGGGTTTCTTATAAAGAGAAACCATCTCATATTCAACTCTGTGTCTCTGATTTATTTCACTTAACACTAGTCACACAAGCCACCCATTTTCCTACAAATGACTCAAAGTTATCCTTTATGGCTGAGTAATGCTCCCTTTTGTATGCATACCACATTTTCCTTACCTATTCATCTGTTCTTGGGCATATAGATGGTTTCCATAATTTAACAATTGCTAATTGTGCTGCTATAAACATGGGTATGCCTGTGTCATCACTTGAGTCTAGATGTCTCCCCAAAGCCTCATGTGATCATAGGTGAGATTTTTCAGACATGGTTGGATTTAGAGTGTATATGGT